CAGCATGCAAACCTGTCCTGGAGCATCTCTGAGTGATAACATCCATGGGCAGAGGTGTTGTGACACTGAAAATGCTGCTGGGTTGGTGGAATGAGCAACGTGAGTCCTTGGCTACAAAAGTGGAGCTGGGCTCTGCTGGATCCATCTGCTCTCACAGTACCTGGGGTTTGTAAGAGGAACGTGGGAGTGTGAACATCCTCCAGCTGAGCAAAGTGAAAGCCCAGAGGAACTGCAAACAGAATGAAGTGACAGATCATCTGCCCCCAGTCTGCACTCATTATCTTGCCTCAGGAAAATCACTCTGTTCTACCAGAGGGCAGCAGAAATGCTCAGGGTTTCTGATATCCAGGAATACCAGGAAGTACATGGAAGGAGCTTAAAAAGAAAACATCAGAACTTTGAAACAGAAGAGCGTGTCCATGTGTGTTACAAAGGAGGTGTTACAAAGGAGGGTGTGTGGGAATTGGCTTTGATTTTGGTTACAGGTATCTCCTCTAACCCTTCACTGTCCTTTTCTCCATGAACAGGTGCCCACGTGCAGCCACAGCAAATGTCCAACAGCAGCTGCATCAGCCACTTCCTCCTGCTGGCATTGGCAGAGCCAGGGCAGCTGCAGTTCCTGCACTTCTGCCTCTTGCTGGGCATCTCCCTGGCTGCCCTCCTGGGCAACGGCCTCATCATCAGCGCCGTAGCCTGCGGCCACCACCTGCACACGCCCATGTTCTTCTTCCTGCTCAGCCTGGCCCTCACTGACCTGGGCTCCATCTGCACCACTGTGCCCAGAGCCATGCACAATTCCCTCTGGGACCCCAGCACCATCTCCTACACTGGATGTGCTGCACAGGTCTTTTTCTTTTTGTTCTTTATCACAGCAGAGCTTTCATTCCTGACCCTCATGTGCTCCAACTGCTACGTGTCCATCTGCAAAGCCCTGCACCATGGGACCCTCCTGGGCAGCAGAGCTTGTGCCCACATGGCAGCAGCTGCCTGGGCCAGGGGCTTTCTCACTGCTCTGCTGCACATGGCCAATACATTTTCCCTGCCCCTGTGCCATGGCAATGCCCTGGGCCAGTTCTTCTGTGAAATCCCCCAGATCCTCAAACCTCCAATCTCAGGGAACTTGGGCTTCTTGCTGTTGGTGCCTGTTTATCATTTGGCTGTTTTGTGTTCACTGTTTTCTCCTATATGCAGACCTTCAGGCCATGCTGAGGATCCCCTCAGGGCAGGGAAAGCACAAAGCCTTTTCCACCTGCCTCCCTCCCCTGGCTCTACCTCTGTTTATCAGTACTGCAGTGTTTGCCTGTTGTTGCAGGCTCCCTGCCAGGTAATAATTAGCATTGTCTCCATGATTGCAGAAGGCTGATCCATGGCTTTATTCCTCTATATTATATCATATCCTACTGTACTTATTAAGGAACTCCTCCCCTTACAGACAGTGCGATACAGCTTTGCCCTAATTGCTCAATCCCTGCAAACACCATGCAGTGGCCAGGCAGAACTGTCAGCAAAGGAAGGGCCCACCCAGGTGGGGCAGCCGGGGGATGCCGACAGCCTGCAGGGACAGAGGCGCAGGGCAGGGACACCGTGGGACAGCCTGGGCTGCACAGGGCACAGGGATGGGCAGCAGCTGCAAGACAGCCCTGCCAGAGCCAGCTTGGGCAGCACTTTGGCCATGGCTGCTGGGCCTGGGGCCAGGAGGGGACAAGTGACCCTTGCAGGCCTGGGGCCTCATTGCCTCCTTGTCCCTGCTCAGCAGCCTGGCAGGGGCCGCCCCACGCTCCTGCCCCTGGCATTGCACATCCCCACATGCCAGTGCCCATCCCGGGAAGAGCCCTGAGCAAGGAGGGAGGGACAGGATCTGCCTGGCCAGGGGCTGGGGCTCAGGCCTTGGCCCTTTGCATTCCTCAAACACATCCAGCTTTGCTCAGCACAGGACACCCCTTTGCCTTGCTTGTGCCCACCTGGCATCACTGCCTGCAGTGTTCTGCTCTAGCTGGAACCTGGGGACACTTTCTCAGCTGTGTCCCTGACAGGGATCTCTTCAAAGTACAAGAAACTTCAGTGTTTCAATAGAACTGAGTTCTTGAGGGTTTTGTGACATCACTGGGGGGTGGTGACATCACAGAACTGGCTGTGACATCACAGAGCAGGATATGAGGCCATAGAGCAGAGTCTGCCATCATAGAGGGTGGCTCTGTGGCATCAGAGGGTGGGTTGTGACATCACCTGGTGGCTGTGTAACATCATAGAGCAGGCTGCGACATCACAGAACAGATTGTGACATCACAGGGTACCTTTGTGACATCAGTCTTCTGTGAGATCACAGCACTGCTGTATGACATCACAAGGTGACACAGAGTTGGCTCTGTGACAGCACAGGGGCAGTGTGACATCACAGGGGCAGTGTGACATCACAGGGCTGTGTGAGGTCCCTGAGGAGGTCACTCTGCCCCAGCCCCACTCACAGTTCCCCCCAGAGCAGTCCAACCCTGCTCCTGCACAGCGGGGTCCCCTGTCCCCCCGGGTCCCCCTGCCCCCGGCCCCGCAGCCTCCCCCAGAGGATGTTCCACGAGATTGACCCCAGAGCCTGACACGGGGACAGGGGGCCAGGGCCCTGGGGGTGGCACAGGGGGACAGGGACCCCCTGGCAGCGTCCCTGTGTCCCCCAGGGCCAGAGCCTGGGCCAGGGCTCCTTCACCCAGCTACCAACGAGGCCTTGAGAGCCCTGAAAAAATCCCCAGCAAGGGAGCAGCAAAAAACAGATTTAATATTAAGGGCAGCAGCACAAAGTTCCTTGGCAAGAGTCACTCTGCTCCTGCTTGGACACTTCAGACACACCAGGGAAACAAAGCAACAACAAAACCAAACAGAATCCAGGCAGTCAAACCAGAAATGAACCGAGAACTGTCCCTCTGTGTGTGTGTGTGACACAAGGACAGTGAGGGCAAGGATAAAAGGAATATGGCCTAAAAGGTTAACAGAGCTCAAAGTTAACAGGACTTAACTTATACCTTAACCTTAACTGATACTTTCAACTCCACAAATTTGCAAAAGAGCAGAGTGTAACAGCATTTAACCTAACTTAAAACTATGACTTAGCAATTTAACAGAGGAATAACACTTAAGAATATTTAACTTAGCTGATAACTTATATTGAAGGTAACAACTTAGCAACTAAGAACAACTCTTAGCAGCATTTAACTTCACTTAGACCTTGTGATTTAACCTTCCCTACAGGCCTGACTGACTCAGCTATGCAAGGCACTCCAAGCCCTCAGAGAGCAGCATTTCTGCCACATTTCCCCAGCACAGGCACTCCTGTGTGCACACAGACACAAAGAGTCAGTGCAAGGCACCTGGGAGCAATTCCCCTGAGGGCAGGGAATGCTCACTGCTGATGCTTTGGCATCTCCCCAGCGGGCAAAGGGTTGAGCCTGGAGGAGTGGGGGGATCGGCCCAGGCTCTGTGCTTGTTCAGAATCCCTGAGTGCAGCAAACGGGAGAGTTCCCGGCTCGGAGAGGCTCTGCTCAGAGGGAGTCTCTGGCCCAGGAGAGCTCCAAGGGCTCCTTTTGGAGCGCTGTTTGCAGGGCCCCAAGAGAGGGGCTTCAGTCCCAGCAATGCTTCATCCTGGCCGCACTGGGCACCAACAGCTTTCTTTGGCAGGGTGAGAACAGGGATCTTGTGCCACTGAGGGAACAAAACCAGTTCCCAGGGCTGCTGCTAAAGGAACCAGGAGCTGGTTGGGCAGCAGCAGTGCCTGGAGCAGACAGTGTTTGTGATGAGCTGCAGAGGAGCTGAGCCCAGGGGCTGTTGGCCAAGGCTGAGGCCCAAGGAGCATTTCTCAGCTGGCAGGGTGGCCTGAGAAGGGCAGGGGAGGATAATTCACCCTCTCAGTGAGCTCCCAGTGGCTCCCAGTATTTCCATGTCCCTGCTCCAAGTGCTGCTCCCAGCCCTGATCTGTGGGGATGGGAATGTCCCACTCGCTTGCTGAGGCAGGGTCACACCTGAGCCAGGTGTGCAGGGCAGGACCTTGCCCTGACCCCAAGCACTGTCCCACCTGCAGGATCTGCTTTCCATTGGCCTCTTCCTCCTGAGGCCCCGAGCCCAGCTTGGTGCTGAACAAAGGGGCTGGGCCAGGGTCATCCCCCAGCAGGGGCTCCTCACTCCCTCTGCCCCCTCCCCAAATTCCCTCTGGGGGAGCAGGAGCTGGGGCAGGAGCCCTGAGGGGAGGGACAAGGGGGTGACACTGGCATGGGGGGGGTCACACATGGCACCTGGGGATCCCCCCTCACTCCCACGGTGCCAGGAAGACAAACCCCTACATGGAGCCCCTGTTCCCCAGCAGCACCTTGTGGGCTGGGTCTGGGGGCAGCTCTGGGTGTCTGGGGGGTCACAGATGCCCTAAAACCCCCTCCCAGCCCCACAGCCACTCCAGCTCCATCAAACCACCCCACAGATCCCTGCTGCCCCCCACACCGCAAACCACTCTGTGCAATAGAAATGGCCCCAAGATCAATCAAAACGCTCCTGGCAATCCCAAAGGTTCCCTTCCTCCCTTCCCTGGGCTCCCCAGGTGGGTGTCAGAGGGGCTCCAGGGGTGCCGCCTGTGCGAGGTCCCCGTTTCAGGGCCCAGGGTACCCAAGGGTCTCCCTCGTCCATGGTCCCAACATCTCCAGGCTGCCGGGGTTCCCCCTATCCGGGCTCCCCGTTACGGGCTCCTGGGTGCCCCTTATGGGGATGTCCGACCCTGCAGGCTGCAGAGGCTCCCCCAGCTCCGGTGCCACCCTCTCCGCTCTCCCAGCCCCCAGCCCGCTGGTCCCCGGCGATCCCCCCGTGGCTCTGGGCTGACCCAGGGAGGGTCCCACGCACCCCCGGCCCAGCACCGGGGCTCTGCCGGCACCAACACCAGGACCCCCAAAATTCTGCCGGGCCGGAGCCGCCGAGAGGCGCCCGGCCCTTGGCCCTGGTGTAGATACATATTGCAATATTGGCTTTGCGCAAATGTTAACATGGATTTTATATGGGCGGTCTTAAAATAACTTTGTTATAAAGATACAGTTTTGATTTCTGTAGTTAATTATAAGCTTAGACATAATAGTGAAATAGCTGATATAAGTGTGCTTGTGTTACAATGCCTGCTTGGCTGGGATAACATCCAATGAACATGGGATGAAGACACCTGGTACAGATGTGCCAGCCATCAGCACTCACCGTCTGAAGGCAGTGTGGGCTGTGGCCAAAACTGAAGATAATGATAAAAAAGGAACAAAACCACAACCAAGGCATGTCCATGCTCTAAAAAGGTGGAACTGAGGAGGAGCCATGCTAAACAGTTCTTGGAATATGCTGTCAGAGCCACAAGCCTTTGTTATCATTCTTTCTTTTGCTATTCTTAGCTAGCCTTCTGATGAAATCCTTTCTTCCATTCTTTTAGTATAATTTTAATTAAATATATGTCATAAAATAATAAATCAAGCCTCCTGAAACATGGAGTCAGATCCTCATCTCTTCCCTCATCCTTGGACCCCTGAGAAAACACTCACATACTCCCTCTCAAATACATCTGCATGCAATTTCACAACAGGTTCATACATATTCATCGTACTGATTTCCTGTTACATTTCCTGTGAATTCTACTTTATCAAAAAGAATTCCTGGGTCATTTTGACCCTGCTTTCCACGGCAGCCTCTCTCTCTGTTTCAGAGTTCAAGGGCCCCTCCTTTATCTCTATCCTTGGCTGCAGCAGTTTCTTAGAGCACAGGCTTCTGTGAGAACAGGCAGTCAGACTGTCACAGACATCTTTTATGAAAAATCCTTCCTTAGGATTTTTTCCTCCTGAGAACCTGAGAGGCCTCAGGAACAAAATGTAAACATTGATTATCTGCTGCTGTGGAATGCAACAAGTGGATCTGTGATTGGTCTCATGTAGTTGTTTCTAATTAATGGCCAATCACAGTCAGCTGCCTTGGACTCTTTGTCAGAGCCACAAAACTTCGTTATCATTCTTTCTTTTGCTATTCTTAGCTAGCCTTCTGATGAAATCCTTTCTTCCATCCTTTCAGTATAGTTTTAATATATGTCATAAAATATTAAAACAAGCCTTCTGAAACATGGAGTCAGATCCTCGTCTCTTCCATCATCCTTGGACCCCTGTGAAAACAGCCGCAGTCAGACTAAACAGCAAGCTGCAGACTGAACTCAAAGATGCACATTTCACCTCAATCCAAATGGATTTCTACTCTGGAAATTACCCCTCTGCCTCAGAGCCCTCTCCCCAAGCTGGGTCCCTGCCTGGCCTGAGCACTCAATGCCAGCAGTGGGAAAAGCTGCACTGCCAGAGGGATCGGGAGCTGGCCGGGCCTCAGAGTAATTCTAGAGCTAAAGCGTGAGAGACATCAGCTCTGCTCAGATAATACATGCCAGCGCTCATCCCGGGCCTGGCCACTGCCACCTCCTCCTCTGTGGGAAGCCAGGGTCGGTGCCTTCCCCAGCCCCGCGGTGAGCAGCCTGTGTCCGGTGTGTCCATGGCTCTGGGAGATGTTGAATTTCCATCTCTTTCTCCCACCTGCAGCTCTCCATGCCCAAGGGCTCTGGGAGATGTTGAATTTTCATCTCTCTCTCTCACCTGCAGCTCTCCAGGCCAGGGGTCAGGATCCCCTCTGGGCACCAAGGCTTTTCCACAGGTCTCCCTCATTTGGCTGTGGGTCTTCCTCTTCCTCAGCACAGCTGTGATCAAACCATGGGGAAAAACTTTTGTGAAAAATGTGTATTTTACAATTGGCTTTTGGCAAATATTCAAATGAATATTATATGTGTGGTGTTAGAAAGTTATGCTGCATCAATTTTCTTAAATAGTTTGTTAAATATAGTTTTAGGTTACAAGAAAATGGTAAAATAGAAACTCTGCTATGTAGAATACATTTTTTTTAAAGAAAGGACTTGCACTGAGATAGCAGCCATAGGACACCTAAATCTTTCAGAGAAAGAGAATTTAATTTCCCCATTATCAAGAGAAACAAACTCCTTCCCGCCTCACTCAGCCTTTAGGATTCAGAGGAAGAAGATGACACTGACCAGACAGAATCCGGTGTTTGAATGGAATTTATGCATCATGTATGAGATGTATAAATATGCAAAAGGCTGTTGTTTTTAAGGGTTAATCCTCTGTTAACCTCTGTCCATTTTCGGGCTTATTTTGACCCTGCTTTCCACAGCAGCCTCTCTCTGTCTGATCCAGAGTTCAAGGGACCCCCTTATCTCTGTCCTTGGCTGAAGCGGTTTCTTAGAGTACAGGCTTTGGTGAGAACAGGCAGTCAGACTAAAACAGCAAGCTGCAGACTGAACTCAAAGATGCACATTTCACCTCAATCCAAATGGATTTCTACTCTGGAAATTACCCCTCTGCCTCAGAGCCCTCTCCCCAAGCTGGGTCCCTGCCTAGCCTGAGCACTCGATGCCAGCAGTGGGAAAAGCTGCACTGCCAGAGGGATCGGGAGCTGGCCGGGCCTCAGAGTAATTCTAGAGCTAAAGCGTGAGAGACATCAGCTCTGCTCAGATAATACATGCCAGCGCTCATCCCGGGCCTGGCCACTGCCACCTCCTCCTCTGTGGGAAGCCAGGGTCGGTGCCTTCCCCAGCCCTGCGGTGAGCAGCCTGTGTCCGGTGTGTCCATGCCCAAGGGCTCTGGGAGATGTTGAATTTCCATCTCTTTCTCCCACCTGCAGCTCTCCATGCCCAAGGGCTCTGGGAGATGTTGAATTTTCATCTCTCTCTCTCACCTGCAGCTCTCCAGGCCAGGGGTCAGGATCCCCTCTGGGCACCAAGGCTTTTCCACAGGTCTCCCTCATTTGGCTGTGGGTCTTCCTCTTCCTCAGCACAGCTGTGATCAAACCATGGGGAAAAACTTTTGTGAAAAATGTGTATTTTACAATTGGCTTTTGGCAAATATTCAAATGAATATTATATGTGTGGTGTTAGAAAGTTATGCTGCATCAATTTTCTTAAATAGTTTGTTAAATATAGTTTTAGGTTACAAGAAAATGGTAAAATAGAAACTCTGCTATGTAGAATACATTTTTTTTAAAGAAAGGACTTGCACTGAGATAGCAGCCATAGGACACCTAAATCTTTCAGAGAAAGAGAATTTAATTTCCCCATTATCAAGAGAAACAAACTCCTTCCCGCCTCACTCAGCCTTTAGGATTCAGAGGAAGAAGATGACACTGACCAGACAGAATCCGGTGTTTGAATGGAATTTATGCATCATGTATGAGATGTATAAATATGCAAAAGGCTGTTGTTTTTAAGGGTTAATCCTCTGTTAACCTCTGTCCATTTTCGGGCTTATTTTGACCCTGCTTTCCACAGCAGCCTCTCTCTGTCTGTTCCAGAGTTCAAGGGACCCCCTTATCTCTGTCCTTGGCTGAAGCGGTTTCTTAGAGTACAGGCTTTGGTGAGAACAGGCAGTCAGACTAAAACAGCAAGCTGCAGACTGAACTCAAAGATGCACATTTCACCTCAATCCAAATGGATTTCTACTCTGGAAATTACCCCTCTGCCTCAGAGCCCTCTCCCCAAGCTGGGTCCCTGCCTGGCCTGAGCACTCAATGCCAGCAGTGGGAAAAGCTGCACTGCCAGAGGGATCGGGAGCTGGCCGGGCCTCAGAGTAATTCTAGAGCTAAAGCGTGAGAGACATCAGCTCTGCTCAGATAATACATGCCAGCGCTCATCCCGGGCCTGGCCACTGCCACCTCCTCCTCTGTGGGAAGCCAGGGTCGGTGCCTTCCCCAGCCCCGCGGTGAGCAGCCTGTGTCCGGTGTGTCCATGGCTCTGGGAGATGTTGAATTTCCATCTCTTTCTCCCACCTGCAGCTCTCCATGCCCAAGGGCTCTGGGAGATGTTGAATTTTCATCTCTCTCTCTCACCTGCAGCTCTCCAGGCCAGGGGTCAGGATCCCCTCTGGGCACCAAGGCTTTTCCACAGGTCTCCCTCATTTGGCTGTGGGTCTTCCTCTTCCTCAGCACAGCTGTGATCAAACCATGGGGAAAAACTTTTGTGAAAAATGTGTATTTTACAATTGGCTTTTGGCAAATATTCAAATGAATATTATATGTGTGGTGTTAGAAAGTTATGCTGCATCAATTTTCTTAAATAGTTTGTTAAATATAGTTTTAGGTTACAAGAAAATGGTAAAATAGAAACTCTGCTATGTAGAATACATTTTTTTTAAAGAAAGGACTTGCACTGAGATAGCAGCCATAGGACACCTAAATCTTTCAGAGAAAGAGAATTTAATTTCCCCATTATCAAGAGAAACAAACTCCTTCCCGCCTCACTCAGCCTTTAGGATTCAGAGGAAGAAGATGACACTGACCAGACAGAATCCGGTGTTTGAATGGAATTTATGCATCATGTATGAGATGTATAAATATGCAAAAGGCTGTTGTTTTTAAGGGTTAATCCTCTGTTAACCTCTGTCCATTTTCGGGCTTATTTTGACCCTGCTTTCCACAGCAGCCTCTCTCTGTCTGATCCAGAGTTCAAGGGACCCCCTTATCTCTGTCCTTGGCTGAAGCGGTTTCTTAGAGTACAGGCTTTGGTGAGAACAGGCAGTCAGACTAAAACAGCAAGCTGCAGACTGAACTCAAAGATGCACATTTCACCTCAATCCAAATGGATTTCTACTCTGGAAATTACCCCTCTGCCTCAGAGCCCTCTCCCCAAGCTGGGTCCCTGCCTAGCCTGAGCACTCGATGCCAGCAGTGGGAAAAGCTGCACTGCCAGAGGGATCGGGAGCTGGCCGGGCCTCAGAGTAATTCTAGAGCTAAAGCGTGAGAGACATCAGCTCTGCTCAGATAATACATGCCAGCGCTCATCCCGGGCCTGGCCACTGCCACCTCCTCCTCTGTGGGAAGCCAGGGTCGGTGCCTTCCCCAGCCCTGCGGTGAGCAGCCTGTGTCCGGTGTGTCCATGCCCAAGGGCTCTGGGAGATGTTGAATTTCCATCTCTTTCTCCCACCTGCAGCTCTCCATGCCCAAGGGCTCTGGGAGATGTTGAATTTTCATCTCTCTCTCTCACCTGCAGCTCTCCAGGCCAGGGGTCAGGATCCCCTCTGGGCACCAAGGCTTTTCCACAGGTCTCCCTCATTTGGCTGTGGGTCTTCCTCTTCCTCAGCACAGCTGTGATCAAACCATGGGGAAAAACTTTTGTGAAAAATGTGTATTTTACAATTGGCTTTTGGCAAATATTCAAATGAATATTATATGTGTGGTGTTAGAAAGTTATGCTGCATCAATTTTCTTAAATAGTTTGTTAAATATAGTTTTAGGTTACAAGAAAATGGTAAAATAGAAACTCTGCTATGTAGAATACATTTTTTTTAAAGAAAGGACTTGCACTGAGATAGCAGCCATAGGACACCTAAATCTTTCAGAGAAAGAGAATTTAATTTCCCCATTATCAAGAGAAACAAACTCCTTCCCGCCTCACTCAGCCTTTAGGATTCAGAGGAAGAAGATGACACTGACCAGACAGAATCCGGTGTTTGAATGGAATTTATGCATCATGTATGAGATGTATAAATATGCAAAAGGCTGTTGTTTTTAAGGGTTAATCCTCTGTTAACCTCTGTCCATTTTCGGGCTTATTTTGACCCTGCTTTCCACAGCAGCCTCTCTCTGTCTGATCCAGAGTTCAAGGGACCCCCTTATCTCTGTCCTTGGCTGAAGCGGTTTCTTAGAGTACAGGCTTTGGTGAGAACAGGCAGTCAGACTAAAACAGCAAGCTGCAGACTGAACTCAAAGATGCACATTTCACCTCAATCCAAATGGATTTCTACTCTGGAAATTACCCCTCTGCCTCAGAGCCCTCTCCCCAAGCTGGGTCCCTGCCTAGCCTGAGCACTCAATGCCAGCAGTGGGAAAAGCTGCACTGCCAGAGGGATCGGGAGCTGGCCGGGCCTCAGAGTAATTCTAGAGCTAAAGCGTGAGAGACATCAGCTCTGCTCAGATAATACATGCCAGCGCTCATCCCGGGCCTGGCCACTGCCACCTCCTCCTCTGTGGGAAGCCAGGGTCGGTGCCTTCCCCAGCCCCGCGGTGAGCAGCCTGTGTCCGGTGTGCCCAAGGGCTCTGGGAGATGTTGAATTTCCATCTCTTTCTCCCACCTGCAGCTCTCCATGCCCAAGGGCTCTGGGAGATGTTGAATTTTCATCTCTCTCTCTCACCTGCAGCTCTCCAGGCCAGGGGTCAGGATCCCCTCTGGGCACCAAGGCTTTTCCACAGGTCTCCCTCATTTGGCTGTGGGTCTTCCTCTTCCTCAGCACAGCTGTGATCAAACCATGGGGAAAAACTTTTGTGAAAAATGTGTATTTTACAATTGGCTTTTGGCAAATATTCAAATGAATATTATATGTGTGGTGTTAGAAAGTTATGCTGCATCAATTTTCTTAAATAGTTTGTTAAATATAGTTTTAGGTTACAAGAAAATGGTAAAATAGAAACTCTGCTATGTAGAATACATTTTTTTTAAAGAAAGGACTTGCACTGAGATAGCAGCCATAGGACACCTAAATCTTTCAGAGAAAGAGAATTTAATTTCCCCATTATCAAGAGAAACAAACTCCTTCCCGCCTCACTCAGCCTTTAGGATTCAGAGGAAGAAGATGACACTGACCAGACAGAATCCGGTGTTTGAATGGAATTTATGCATCATGTATGAGATGTATAAATATGCAAAAGGCTGTTGTTTTTAAGGGTTAATCCTCTGTTAACCTCTGTCCATTTTCGGGCTTATTTTGACCCTGCTTTCCACAGCAGCCTCTCTCTGTCTGATCCAGAGTTCAAGGGACCCCCTTATCTCTGTCCTTGGCTGAAGCGGTTTCTTAGAGTACAGGCTTTGGTGAGAACAGGCAGTCAGACTAAAACAGCAAGCTGCAGACTGAACTCAAAGATGCACATTTCACCTCAATCCAAATGGATTTCTACTCTGGAAATTACCCCTCTGCCTCAGAGCCCTCTCCCCAAGCTGGGTCCCTGCCTAGCCTGAGCACTCGATGCCAGCAGTGGGAAAAGCTGCACTGCCAGAGGGATCGGGAGCTGGCCGGGCCTCAGAGTAATTCTAGAGCTAAAGCGTGAGAGACATCAGCTCTGCTCAGATAATACATACCAGCGCTCATCCCGGGCCCGGCCACTGCCTCCTCCTTCTCCTGCTACTGCTGGGGCCGTCCCAGCCCGGAGCCGCCGTTCCCAGTGCCAAGGGCCGCTCTCTGCGGGTGCAGCCGGTGCCCGCCAGCGCAGCCCTTGGCCCGGCGCTGGAGCCGGCGCCGCTGTTGGCAGCAAAACCCCCCCGGGCAGAGCCGCCCCGGCCCGGCCCTTCCCGCGGCCCCGGCTCGGCGGCGCCGCCATCGCCCTCAGCGCCCTCCCGCCCTGCGCCGCATCGCCCGGCCCAGAGCCCTGGGCCTCTGCGCCCTGTGGCACTGCGCTCGGGGCATCGCCCGCTCGGGGCACCGCGGATCGGCCCAGCCCCGCCCGCCCCGCTCGCGGCACCACGGATCGGCTCGGCCCGGCCCTGCACCAGCACCGGGCCCGGCCCGCACCACGCACCCGCTACTGCCGCCGCTCCACTGCCAGGGACACGCGGCTAGAACGAGTAGGGCCGGGCTGGCAAATGGACCCGCCCGCAGCCGCCTCCGTCTGCCCCGGCCCCAATCAGCGCCTTCCACCCACCGCAATGGGCATTTTGAACAATGCGCGTTTTCTGATTGGCTTTTGGCAGATATTCAAACGAATACTTTATGTGTTATGTTAGAAAGCGATGCTGTATTAGTTTTCTTAAGTAGTGTGTTAAATCTAGTTTTAGGTTGTAACAAAATGTTAAAATAGAAACTATGCTAGATACTTTTTTTTAAAAGAAAGGAGTCACACCAGTCAGCAGCCACAGGATGCTTAAATCTTTCAAAGAGAATTTATTGCTCTCTTATCAGAAGAAACGAACTTCTTCCCGCCTCACTCGGGAAAAAGCCTGAAGATTCTGATGAAGCTGCTGACACTGACCAGACAGAATCCTGTGTTTGAATGGAATTTATGCATCATGTATGAGGTGTATGAATATGCAACAGGTTATTGTTTTTAAGGGTTAATCCTCTGTTAATGTTGGCAGGAAATGTTGTCCTTTATCGGGCCTATTTTGCCCAGAAAAAGGTACCCGGACATCCATAACTCTTTTCTTCTATTGTCTCATATTGTCCTAATCCAAATTGTCCAAATTATTATTACTCTAATTATATTGCTATTTTTATAACCATTTTATTATCATTCAACTTTTAAAAATTTTAAAAACAAGTGCTTTGCGTTTTTCACACTTTTTAACACTAATTCCTACATTAAAAGCAGGCATAGCTTTATTTTGTCACTGGGATCACCCAGGCCCAGCTCTTTTGCTCCCCAGCTGGTACCTGTGTCACAGGGGAGCAGGGAGATGATGCTGCCCTCAGGAGCTGGGGCCCAGCGCCCAGGTGCAGGTGAGGTGCAGCAGTTCTTTTCAGGGATTCTCAAGGTGAAGAAAAAGGAAGTTTCTTTTCTGACTCTAACATTTATAGTTTTTTAAAAGTGACCTTGGATTGGAGGGTGAAAGTGCCACCTCTCCAATGACACTGGACAAACCAATAGTCTATTAAATTAATTTTCTTCTATAAAAGAATGCAAAACAAATCTCAGGAGCTCATTCCTTCCAGAAAGATTATTGATACTGCTCTAGAAGGCACCTGGGAACAGCAACTCAATCCTGCCCACGTTTTCCCAAAATCGCTCCCTCCAGCAGGAACAGCTGGGTACCATTGTCACTGCAGATATTCAAGCACCCGAAGCAGCTGCAGCTGTTCATGAGCAGCAGAGCAGATATTCCCTGTGCCATCACCTTTCCATAGGGATACAGAAGCTCTGATTCTGGCGTGCGTGATCCCAGCTGGTGAACTCCAGGGAAATCCACGCTGCTCATTGGAAAACCCACCTGAACTTTTCTTTTAAATGTGATGGAGAAATGTCTCTGCATCCGGGGGCTACTGTGGTGATAAATCACCTGAGGAGTGTTGGGGTGTGCAGGAACCCTGCAAGTAAGGGATCAATAATCTCTGGACACAAACTGGGCTGCTCACAAGAAATAATCCCTGGACAGAAGTTGGGCTGCTCAGGAAAAATAATCCCTAGACAGAAATTGGGCTGCTCACAAGAAATAATCCCTGGACAGAAGCTGGGCTGCTCAGGATCAATAATCCTTGGACAGAAGTTGGGCTGCTCAGGAATTGAACTCCCAGTCAGGAGTGCGACCTGTGGAGCAGAACCTGCAGTGCTGGGCAGGGAATGTTTAATAGCCCCAAACCCACACATGCTGTGGGCTTGAGGCTGGATTTAAAGCAGGGAGAACACCTGAAAATCTTCATTAAACGTTGGAAAAACATAAAGTTACAAATTAACTTTTACTTAACTACAGGGAGAAAAAGTTACAGAATCTTCAAATCCCTGAAGATTGGGAAAGACCTCCAAGCTCAGCGAGTCCAACCTTTGAGCAAACTCTCCTCATCACTCAGCCAGAGCCCTGAGGGCGATGTCTGGTCACTCCTTGGACACCTCCAGGGATGGGGACTCCACACCTCCCTGGGCAGCCTCTTCCAAGGCCTGACAACCCTTTCCATGAAGGAATTCTTCCTTCTGTCCCTGTTCTCTGGGAGCACAGCCCGACCCTTGCCGGCTGTCCCCTCCTGTCAGGAGCTGTGCAGAGCCAGAAGGCCCCTCCTGGGTCTCCTTTTGTCCAGGCTGAGCCCCTTCCCAGCTCCCTCAGCTTCTCCTGCCCTGCTGCCTCGGCTCTGTTCCGTCCCTGGCCGTGCCATCCCAGTGAAAAAGCCGCGCTGGGAGCAAAGCCCGGGTGAGACCGCGGTCAGGTTTTTATCCGGCTGGTTTAACCCGAGCGGTGCCTGCCCAAGGCTTAACCCCTTTCTGCCGCATTAACCCAAACTCTCTGTGAGAACCCCGCGAGATAGAGAGACCCGGACCCACCGCGAGCCGTAATTTCACCCAGCAAAGGGGAAATTCCCAGGGAATTCCCAGGAAAATCAAAGCAGCCGAGTCCCCGTCATCCCCACAAAACAGGGCAGAGGAGGGGACCTCGGACTGCTCAGTTTGGGTGTGTGAAAAATGCATATTTTATAATCGGCTTTTCGCAAAAATTCAAATGAATACTATATGTGTTATGTCAGAAACTTATGCTGTATTAACTTTCTTAAGTAGTGTGTTAAATCTAGTTTGTTGCCTTCTTGTGAAGGCCGCGATGACCTGGTTTCAGGGCCCAGCACTTCGATCTCCTTTCGTGGGATCCCTTGTGGCCAATAACGGACGCTGACACCAATGTGGTGGACGGTTAAAGGCCTTTATTGAGGGGTCTTTAGGGTATTTATGGACTGAGGGGTCTCTCTACGTCAGACAGGGGTTTGGCTATACTTTCTAGGGTTAGTATGGAGTGGAAAGTTACTGGCATGCATAGGTTAGGGGGGCTACACGTCTGGCTACATTCCAAGGGTGATCCTTATCTATGGGGAGGGGGATAGAAGGATTCCTGTAACTTTCCGTTACAGCCCGAAATCTTCCGAGCGCCTGTCCCTGGCCTACCACACTTCCCCCCCCTCTTTCACAAATGAACGAGGTAGTCTTATACATAGGTACTGAAATGAGGTAGGAAGTTGAGATCTGATTAGGGAAAAGGGTCTTGGGAAACTTGAGTAAGTTTCTGCCGGGCAAGTCTCTCGTGACTGGCAGCGTTCCCTGCTGAATTCACAGGAATTGTGGCTGTCTCAGGAACAGGATGTTAGCCCGTTCTATGCGGGCCTGAACGAATGAGACTAGCTTGTTCAGCAGACATGGCCCGAAGGTAACAGCTAAAAGCAGTATTGCTAATGGACCTATTAGGGTAGAAATGAGGGTGGTTAACTATGGTGATTGGTTGAACCAGGATTCGAACTAGTTCTGTTGGGCTTCCCTGTCTTTCTGTCTCTGAGCCAGTCTGTTTCGGAGTTCTGCCATGGAGTCTCTAACGACTCCTGTATGGTCGGCGTAGAAACAGCATTCTTCTTTCAAGGCAGCACACAGGCCCCCTTGCTGCATGAACAGGAGATCCAGTCCTCGCCTGTTCTGCAGGACTACTTCTGAGAGTGAAGAGACTGACTTTTCTAGAAAGGAAATGGATTTCTCGATCTTCTGCAGGTCCTCATCGATGGTCATCTGCAGTTGGGACAGTCCTTGGTGTTGAGTTGCTAGGGCTGAGACACCTGTTGCCGTTCCAGCCGCTCTTAGGCCGAGCAGCATTGCGATAGTTATACCTGTTAATATTTCTCTCTTGTGGAGCCGGTTGTTATTTTCGGAAAGGTGATACACCTCTTCGTCTGAGTGGTACAGGATCCTAGGGATGATCAGAACTTGAACACAAAAGTCGTTAGAGTTATCGAATTTGGCAAGAGACACGCAGGGACTTACTCCAGATCTCTGGCAAACCCACATCCCAGATGTGGATGGGACTACTCATTTATTATTATTTTTTCTGTCGGGCTCGACTACTTCGGTGCAGATGTCGTCTTTCTGCTTAGCTAGGGTTGCATTGCCGAAGCATCTGCCCTGACCTGTGACTTGACTCAGGGTAATTCCTTTGCGGGGTGTGTCCCATCTGCACTGGCGAGGGGCATCGGCTGTGGAATAGCTGAAGGGGGTATCTAAAGCGACTCTTTCGTAAAAGGGGGGTTTAACATCGTAACAAAGCCAGCAGGACTCAGTTAGGTTCGGGTTAGATTCATTTAGGGATAAAAAGGTAGCTTCTAACATGCGAAGGATTGGGTTCGAGCCTGAACTGGCTGATTGGCCTATCTGGAAGGCTTCCTCATCGCCAGTCAGGACATCCGTGACCCTTGTGGGTAAGGGTTTGGGGTAGGTCATATTTTTCCCTTTCTGTGTGCTTTTGATCACTTTGTTGGGCCTAACTGCTCTGGGTGCTGACGGTGGGAATCTGGTAATTCGCACATTCACCCACTTTTCTGACCCTTGAAGGACTACTGTCCATGCTTTGCCCACGGCCCAGCTAGGGTGATTCGGCTGCAGAACTGTCATGTTATAGTGAGTGCATTTCCGGAATTTGGGGACTTTATGTTGGTTTCGATAGAAATTTCCCTGGAGGAAGACGGGTGTTTTGCAACCTGTGGGTGCCCAGGTGAACTGTAGGAATTTGTCGGGC